AAGATGTGAGCCACTCTCCAAACTCATCTTCCGACAACCAGCGAACCCGACAATTTTACGAACATAGGAAATACAAGTGCAGCCCGAGCTGCTCCTTTTCAATCGTGTCCAACAAGCCGTCATCTACCTGCTTTGTTGACAAGTGTCGCACCGAAAAACGAGCTTGATCACTGACTCTTGCCGCAACCACGGGAACGGTGAGAAAGCAAAGCTAATGGTCAAGCCATGATCCTGTGCAAACCTGTCAGGCCATAAATATCCTGTGCAAGCCTGTCAGGCCATACATGCACAATGATGAAAGCTGGGGGCAACAATACAAGCACACCAGAATCCAACATGCGGCACTGTACGATGCTCCAACGGAGTTTCGGACCGCATACAGCCCGCTTTTGCTCCCACAGCTTGTATGGGGCTTCAATGCGGCTACGGTCGTGTCCCGTCATGTCAGTGGCGAAAACTTTCTCCCTATCTCTCTCTCTCTCTCTTTCTGTCTCTCGCTCTCTCTGCAGCTTTGCGACTCAACACAACAAACACTTAACCGCCATGAATGCTATGGCATGATGCCGCTCGAGCATTTCGCTGCAACGCTCACGAACGCTGATGTCAGAGTGCCAGCCTGATCCGGTGGACTGCAGCTGAGAACTGACCGTTCCAACTAATGCGGCTAGGATGCTGCAATCTCCTCCGTCGCCTGGCATCTGAGAAGTCGAGAACATAAAAACAGTTCATCCTGAAATCTGCAGGGCCCCAAAGTCCACTGAAAAGTCGGAACGATTTCAAGGTCCGACATGTTGGCCAAGTTTGATAGGAATTAGGATTCCACGGATACATCGTCTCACTTCCAATGATGTGCCTAACTTCTGGAAACTATCTTTGCTAAAGTCCGGTGGCAAACATTCGATCTCCCTCAGAGCGCAAGCTCCAGGCATGACCCTTTGAACAAACAATTTCTGTAAACATTTTTCTGAAACAGAAAGGACAAAAGAGTGAAAGAACCAGAGAAAAGATTTCCACATTCCTAACAGTTCCTCATCTCCTCTCCTCTCCTTACGCCCGCGGTTGAGTCGCTCTGCTCACTCTGCTCATTGAGTTCCCCTTGGAGTCTCTCTCTCTCCCGTGCCATCAAGGGGAGTAGGGTTTCGGGTTTAGGGTTTACGGTTTAGGGTTTAGGATTTCGTTCTCCCCTCTTACTCTCAGCCATCGGGGCTGTCTGATCAGAACACGACCAACGAGAAGAACAGAACAAGAAACCCCGCACGGACCAATGCAACGAGACAATGGGCAAGGACTCCTTCACTGTGATCTCGGTTCCTCTTTTATTGGTGTAAAAAACAAGCGAAGGAAGAGTAAGGAGGGAGAAACAAGGCAGGGAAAAGGGAGAAGATAGCTATGTGTCTCTTAGCGAGATCCGCGACATGTCTTTCCCTTGTCCACGTATTTATGCGTGCCTCGGGCCTTTGTGTAGTCTTGCGAGAAATAACAATCCAAACAAGGACGGGTGAGATGGAAAGAAAGCCATATGCTATCACATGCCCTCTTCGTGTGTTGCTTGGTCAGATGCGAAAACCACCCATAAGATCGCCCCTTGTTTGACAGTCCCGTTACTTCCTGTCTTCAAAGAACAACCAATTTCAAAAGCAAAGGTATCTGCATAAACCCTCCGACCGAAGCGTTCTTCACGCCATACACAAAGCTCCTCGACAGCATCTTGGGGACACCCAAAAAGCTTTTAGAGATGCTAGGAACCTTTTTCAAACTCGGGCTGAGACCCTCAGATAACATCGGAGCCTTAATGATGAGACTTTGGATTGGGTGATCTTACAGTACAGCTAAGTAGCGACCATGCGGGAATACAGCAATAACAAAAACCAACTGACCCCTTGTCTTGCCGGAGAATCTCCGGAAAAATTCCAACCCCCGAACTGGAAACCGAAACCCGACAGGAGCGAACGCCCTAACTATCCCCAAGGCCTCGATCGTACCTCTGCTTATCGGCCCCTGGCCCCCTGGCTCAAACCCCCCTGCAAAAGCCTGCGTGATGTAGGGGTCGGAAGGATTACTTCTTCAAGTCCTTGCGGTTACTCATACTAACTATACTTGAATATACCCCAGCAGCCCTATTCAAGCTATGCTAAGATAGCTATACTACTAGTAGAATATGTCTTCCGCACAAACCAGCTGCCAAAAGAGGCAACGCTAAATCAAAAACTCACATGATGCAAG